AGTAAATAGTTATTGGACACACATGGGTTGTGACTTTTCGTTTCTGAGTGGCACCTGTTAAGAATCCTTTCCAGGTTTGTGAACCGAACCAAGAACCTAAGTCAGACCAATGACTTACTGAAGTTTAGTTTTATTGAAGTTCAGTCTTACTGAAGACCACAATCCAGGCTAACAGCAGGAGGCAGCAGGGGGCTAAGAAGTCGTCTGTGCCTAAAGGCACATCTTCGGGAAGGGGCTCTTGGTCCCATCTGCTGGCCACTGCAAAGCTGGGGACATATGTCAACCTGGGTTCTGTGACAGATGGCCTGAACCTCCCTTCTCTCTCTTACCTGTGGCGATGGGGCCCCCTGTGAAATGGAAACTGTTAAGTGAAACACCTGTCTTGACTCATCACCAAGGACAGGATGGTTCCCAAGCACAAAGTCTGTCATCTGTTTGGATTAATCCTCTGATTCCCAGAAAGCAGGAAGCTCGAAGGGCTGTACATGGGCCTCTAGAACACTTGGCCCTAAGAAGTGCATGGCTCTCTATTCCAGGGGCCCCAGAATAGCAACCTACCAGATTCAGTTCCTGTTCCTTTTGTGTCTTTAGACACATGTAGACTAGGAGTCTCATTAGGACAAGCTGGACATTAGATCAAATAAAAACGCAGGTGGCTCTGAATCTCCAGAAGCTGTGGGGAGGCTGAGATGAAAAGCCAGCCCCCTCCGGCTGCACAGGCGGAGGTGGCCATGTCCCTGCTAATGAACCTGGGAGCCCAGCAGGCCCGGACTCTCTCCCATTTACTGACTTCAGTCAGGGTTTGAGACAGAAGCCCCTGATGCACAGGACACTCTCTAGAAAGCCCACAAGCCCGCGACATCACAGGATGCAGGCAAGTGCAGAGAGAAATGTTTCTTCGTTTCTCCCACACTGGTGGCTCCGGGATGAGGGGACACAGGGAGTTTCGTGAGCATGGAGTTCCATTCGGGAAGATGAAAAGAGCTCTGCAGACGGGTGGTAGGGAGGGTCGCCCAACAGTGTGAATGTTCTTAATGCCACTGAACTGGACACTTACAAATGGTTAAAATGATAATTGTATCTTGTGTGTATTTTATCACAATTTTAAAAATAAATAAAAGAGACTGCACGTTCTCTGCTGCCCTTGCTGTAGGCCCAGGGACTTCGCTGCCTTCCTTTCCTCTCCGGCCCTGCCACCGGCCACTCCTCCTGTGGCTCTCGCTCACTCTGCCCCCAAGCAGCTGCCCCTCTGCATGGTGACATCAGAGCTAATCACCATGACCTTGCTGGAGGAGTCACCCACTGGAACTCCCATTGGCAATGGGGGCATTTACAAACCAGGTTGGGGGGAGGGGTGGCTAATGGCATCCTCATAGGAGGCCCTGACTCCATCTAAGAAGGTAAACACGCTTCATGGCTTCTGGCTAGTCCTGCGAGAGCAGGGTTTTCCAGCCTCTCCTCCAGCCGGCCCTGCGGCTCCGTCCTGGATTTCAAGGAGCCAGTCACCCTTCTGAGGCCCTCCAGCCACCGCTTTGCCTTGCCCTCGCCCACTTTCATGGCCTCAGCCATCACGCATTTGCTTTTTGTATGAGAAAGGAGACAGTACAGCCTAGTGGTTAAGAGGCAGGTCTTTGTCTTTGCTCAGACGTGCTTGGGTTCAAGTTCTGGCTCAGCCAGTTGCTGGGTATATGGCCTCAAGCAAGTTACTAAAGCTGGCTATTCCTCAGTTTCCTCATCTCTAAAATGGGAGTAATAAACCCTTCCTTAGTGTTGTTATAAGGATTAAAATGGAACTAATCCACACCATCCATTAAACATTGGCAGTGGGTGGCAGGTCTGTGTACTGCTGCAGCCTGGGCTCTGGAGCCAGACCGTGCGTGTGGCCGTGGGCAGGTTACTTGGTCTCTCTGTGCCTGTTTTCTCCTCTGTGGAACGTAATCCATATTACAGAGCTGTCGCAAGGACTGCGTGCTTGTAAACTTAATTCAGGAGAGTGCTTAGCATGCTGTCTGCACATATTCAGTGTCCCATAAAGGTTAACCACTCTTGTTTGTCATTAAACAAAAATGAGGCTACTAAAAAAAAATTCCACGATGCATGACAAAATCTATGGCTAAAGTAGTCAACCCAAATCAAACTTGAACATAACGTTTACTAAAGCAATTTTATAAAGTCTAAAGGAGACTTCAAAATAAATATTTTAGTGTCCTGAAAGATCATTCACAAAATGAAAAAAAAAAATTGTGGGCATGTGGAAGTAAGACAACAATAGCCGACCTGAAAAATACTCGTACGTACATCGTAAACACTTCTCAAAATACTCTGGCTTTCAGATAGGAGCTACGAAGTCCTGCTGTGTCCAGTGAAAGCATTTCCATTCCAGGGGCTTCCCCCAGCTCTCCCAGCCCATGTTGAAGTGTGTTATTTGACTATGCACTGATCAGCATGCAATTTAGAGAAAGGTGTAAGGCACAAAGGAGTGGGTTGTGTGAAAGCTGATGAAGTCACTTTCTGTCAGACCCAGACAGAACAGGGCCGGGAAAGGCACAAAGGAAGGGGGATCATGCTTGCTTGTCGGAGATAAGAACCGTTTCCAAGGATTTTCTAAAACCCATCAGAAATCCCTTCACATCCTTCATGTATCTCCTGCTTTGCACATACACACGTGTTTCTGTGACAGGTTTATCACTAGATATTCTTTAGAACTGCAGAAACTGGTTAATAGACACGAAGAATGATTATGTTTTGTAATGATGAATATACTAATCTTATTTGAGCATCACCTATTGCACACAGGTATTGATATTCTACTCTGTATCCCACAAATATGTATGACCGATTATGTTTCAATAAATAAATAAATAAAAACAACAAAGCAAGAAATACAGTAATTCAGACAAGATGCTCCAAGAAGAAACCGCCCAGTAATGGCATCTCTACTGCTAAGCTAATGACAAATCTGACTTTGAGCCTCTGAAACTCATGAACTCTACTTCCAAGCAGCTTACATGAACCTCTCCCTTTTTGCCAATAGAAGCTTTCTCTTACCTCCCCTCACCGAATGCACTTGTGGCTTGCCATGGTACGCATCCTGGATTATAATCTTATTTTCTATCCCCGAATAAATTCAACATATTTGGAGATATTTTTCTCTAATTTTTTTTTAGATTAACGGTGGCTAGGAAAGGGCAGAAGTGCAGAGGTTATTGATGTGGCCTCATGTGTTTCCCTTTGTCACCCTGACCCCATGACGATTGCCACTGTCTGAGGTCTTGTGAAGAGAACACCCATGTTGGCATCTGTCAGCCTTGATCATGCTTGGCAGAAAAGGTCAAATAAAAGCCAGTAGGGGGATTGCTCCAAAAAGTCAAAACTGATGGGCAGAGGGACCAAGCTCCCCTCTGTGCCCTTTTCAAGAAAGTCCCGTAGGTGCCATTTCCATCCATGCGTAAAGCACACTGCAGTGTTAGTACCAGAGTTGGTTGCGGGCATGACAATGTCCTTTATTCAAATATTTGGAAGCCTGTTGTGTGCAAGACATCCTCAAACAAAGGACTTTTAAGGCCTCAGGTTGTCTAGTGTCCTCTTTATTTCATAGGAGAGAAGATGGGATCTAAAAGACCAAGAGTTGCCCAAAGTTTCTCAGCAGCTTTAAGAAGAGTTAGGATGAGAATCTCTTTCGAGGGTTTCGTTCTCTTTCATTGATTGTCAAGAGTGGGGCAATGAGAACTGAGTGCTCATCACTGTAACTGTGGGTCTCCCTCATCAAAGGCACGATATGCAGATTAGAGGGTAGAAACCGTCAGGGTGCAAAATTAGTAGTCCCTGACCTCTAGTCTTTCACACTAGAGTTTGTTAATTAGGCTCATTCAAATCACACTCTGATTAAATTTCAATTAATTTGTTCAGTTCTCTGCCTCTCCAATCTCATGTCTCATAGCCCAAGAGGTTTACGATGTTTATTTAACAAATAGAACATCTGCCACGTTCTGGAGATTGAATGGTGAACGAGATGCATAGAGTCCTTTCAGTCTGGGGAAGCTGGGCACTCTCGATACAGTCAGTGCCGTGCAACGTGAGGGTGTAATGGTGTGTGGTGGGCGCTCAGAGCAGGGATACGATCTAACAAAGTCCTGGAAGAAGTGGCATGAGGATGAAGAGGACTTATCCGGGTGGATGGGATGGGGCGGTGGGTAGGGAGAATGTGCTCAGGATGTGATTTTTCTTTGCCTTTGATCTGGGAATGAGAACTTGGTGCACTCCAGGAATGCAAAGATGCTCAGTGCTGATTGAATCCGAGTGTGCGGAGAGAAAGGAAATGTGTCCAGAGAAAGAGCGAGCCTCGTGCGCCCTAGTTAAGAGATAGGACTTGATCCTAAGGTAAGGAAAGGTGTGAAGCAAGATTTGATCACCACATCTGCGTTTCCCACTCCGGACTCTGAGTCTCCCTGTCAATTCAGCCTCCACAGTGCAGTGATAAGTTTGTGTACGAAGCACCTTCAAAGCCAAATGTGGGATTTTCCTCCTGATCCAGGAACCAGTGTCAGTCTTCAGAGCTGGGCGCAAGTTTTTCTAAGAGCTGTTGCTTGTTCGTGTAGGAATGCCAAAACAGAATCATTTTGGCTCTGATACCTGGGATGGTTAAATGATAAATATCTGCGGAATGTATTAGGCATCGAGTGTTTACGATATTTCGGAAGAATTTTTACTCAAGCAGAAAAACGCTCCTGAGTATTGAGAAAAACACTATGAGATGATACACAACTATGCACATAGAAGGTCCTAGCAATCAAGAGAAAATGTGTATATGTATTTATCTCCCTGGGAAAAATAGGACCAGGAAGTAAACCTTGATGTTTCACGTCCCGGGATTTATTATATGTGCTTTTGTGAATGATTTTATCACCTTCTGATGAAATTTTAATGAGGGTGTCCTGCTTTTATAATCAGATGGCATATTAAAGATTTCTTACCGAACATAAAGACACACGAACGCCTACTCTTAAGAACAGGAATTTATTTCATGCCACTGAAACTTCAAAAATCATTACTGGCCTTCGCCTGAGAGGTCTTTTGAGTTATGCATAATTTAAAAAGAGGTAGGGACTGAAAAAACAAAACAAAAAACCAAAAGGTAAGGTTATCAGTTAATACTAGCCGGCACTTACTATATACCATTGTAAAACCTGTAAGTTCACTTTTGGCACTGGCTCCTGCCTCGTTTCACATTGTTTTCATAAGAGTGTTAGAGCACAAACAATATGGAACTTTGTTACCCTTTCAAAATGAAGTTAGTCCAAAATATTTCATTCGTGTGGTAGGAAAGGAGTTAAATGCAGGGTATATGCTCAGTGTTGTAAGGTGTGTGTGTGTCTGTGTCTATGTGCTTTAAATAAGACTTAAAAAAAAAAAAAAAGACTTCTTCCAGAGTGTTAGATTCATTGCTTTCTTGGTTTAGTTCACCATTCTGAAGTCTTCCCCATCAAAGCCATCCAGTGGAGTGTCCTGCCACCTGGGGACAGAGGTCAGGGCAGGTGCTGGGCCCAGCCCGTCCTCCACTTGTTTCCTTCACATCTGTGTCTGGGAGATGGACCCCACCACGGAATACGGGTTCATCTTTTCTGGGCTCTTTTTCTTTTCATCCTCATCAAACTGAGCTTCAATCTCTGCTGGATTGACGTAAGTGTAGAATCGAGCCATGACAGCAAATATTATACAGACGACCAGAAGCAATGAGGCAAACAGAACGTACTCGGCCCACTGTGAAGGAATTGGAGTTGAGACAATGAAAAAAACACAAAAATAATACAGGTCTTACTCACGTACATGTTGCATGCACATTCTCTTGCTCTGTCCAGGTGGAAGGTGCTATGAAATTAAATGGTTATGGAAAACTGGTCGGCAACTAATTTAGAAAAAGAAGGGCAGCTTTTCTTGAATGCCCAAGTATGCAGATCACATTTTTTCCCAATAGCTCTGGGGTGCAGAAACACAGGCTTGGGAGAGAGGAGAGAAAATTTCTGAAAAATCAGAGCCTTGGGACACCTGGCTGGTCTGAAGGATGGAGACCAAGAGAACACAAGCAGTACCCTTGACGGAAAAAGAATGAACTGAACTGTGCCAAGTTAAGACCCCCATATCGTCCCCTGGCAACACCCTGAGCTCCTGAGCATGCAGCATTAGTCACCCTCTCATGACAGTCAGTGCAGGAAGTAATGAAACTGATGGTGTAACAGACAACTCTCTGATGAGGTGGATACGCTACAGTGCTGAAGGAAAGTGTTTGAGTATTGGAAAAGCCCTTGCTTTATTTTAGCTGGTAAAATTACAACCATCTCTAGAATGGCTTTAGCTTCAGGAATTATGAAAGTTTGTCGATAATGTATCTGGTTTGGGGCTATTAAGCTGCATTCACTGAAGCTAGGAAAGATGTTTCCTTTGTGATAGTAAACCACATTACGGTGTGCGTATGTTAACCCTATCAGTTTATTTTGATCACCAGTTTCCAACTGTGTAATACCATGTGGATATAAGAAGAATCATCAGAAACTTTGCCATAAGGCAATTTGGTAACAGCCCTATCTGACTGGTCTGGCAGTTTTATCTAGCCATTAGCCCAAACTATGGCTGGGAGGGTCGTCATGATGACCACTAACAGACAAGAAGAGGCGCACGCAGCCTGCTTTCCCACCCCGTGCATACCTGTTTGCTGATCTGGCCAACCCCTGCCACAATGAGCACAATGATGTTGCCAACAGCCACTGTCAGCAGCCACCCTGCCTGCAGCACCGACTTCATGTTGGAAGGAGCCTGAGGAGGCAAAGCAGAGGGAATTCCAATCTAGATCTCAGCCCCAGGGCAGGAGGACACAACTCACTGATTCATTTCATTCATTCATTTCGTTGCATATAAAAGTCAGGTTGGTTTAAATGTTAAAAGGGTCATCACTTGGGTAGCAAGATACCAAACACTCACATTGTATGAGCATACAAGAGTCCCTGTGTGTCACTCTCTTCACGCTTGCAAAGTTGTCCTCTTAGTTAATTGGGCAAATGTACAGATGAACTGACTCTGTCTACAGAAGTGTGTCCAAGCAAAGCCATCTGGCATGTTCTTCCCCCACATGGAGGCTGCTGTCTGGGCTGCAAGCTTGCTCTTCTGTGGCTTTCCTGCCCCCTTACCAAAGTCTCCCTTCAAACTCTTGTCACCTGTATTATAGTCATCTCCTTTATTAGACTGTGAGGTCATCACAGAAACGGACTCTCTGACTCATATTTACCATCTTTACCACAAAAAATTGAGGGTACTAGGCATCGTGGGATACAATAACTATCACTGTAGTTTTGACAAAATAGTTCAGAAATTAAGCTCTGATTTGGGTATCAACAAAATTTGCCTCATTAGTCTAATGCACTTAAAAGCAACATTATTTTTTAACTTGTTTTTAAAGCTAGGCCTAATCTGATGTGTTTATCGGGAGCTACAAAGAGACCTCAGCCCAACATTGAAGATAAGGAGGACACAGACTTGTAAATGAGCACTTCTATGAAGAGTGTGTCCCACTGAAATGTTTCAGAATGTTAGCATCCACTGACTGTCATGACCTTGGTGGCAGTCATTACTACAGTTTTTCCTCCTAAGGACTCTAAATCTCCAGCGTATGACACTAGAATACAGACACACAAAGCTGAACAGAGTAATAGCCTTATTCAGTAAAGACCAAGACTTGGTGATCTCAAAGACCTTGTTCTATGGAAGATACCATAGTGCTTTCCAGAATTCTTTAAAACTGAAGACACAGCTATCCCTGATTTAAATGAAGTCCCAGCAGCATTTTCTGAAGGCAAGGCTCTAGCAGAAGTGTGATAAAAACAATGAACAAGAAACCTGAGAATATGAAAACTCCAGTCCAGTGATAGAGAAGACCACCTCGCCACAGGTCAAAAGGAAATACTGCGGGATTTGCAGAGCCATGTTAACTGTGTTGGGTGAAATATCTTCAAATTCCTTCACTTCGGCACAGCCATCGTCCTAAACCAATCAGGCAAAAGCGGGAAGAAGAAATTAAAGTTGAAATGGTTTCTAGAATAACAATTGTTCAAACAGGTAAATTGAGTTTGACTTTCTAGGGTTACATCCTACAACTTGTCAAGTAAGTACACATTTTAAATGCAAATATGCAACATTGCATTTTATACTTGTGATGGGATTTTATACTTATGATGGGATATACAAGCATATTGGTATATTGGTATTTTCCTCTTAAATAAGAGAGCAGATTGGAAATCAGGTTTGTTTAAAACATTGCCATCTCTTTGAATTATAAGTTCCTAAAGTCCACGTTAATAGTCTATCCTGGCGAACATGAACTTTTCATCAGAGTGAGTCAGTTTAATTTTATTCTAATGGTTAACAATTTAAGCCAACAATAACTTAAAGAATTAGCAGCAACTTAAACTAATTCCAAGCCCATTTAAAATACAGATCCTAATGTGATTCTAGTTAAATCATTACTGTGTCCTAAGTGTTTGTGAGGGTTCATATCAACAAAGTTTGAGTAGAGCCTCTGGTATGACGGGATGAGTCACTAACCTGACTTTTGATTACATAGGTGTAAGCACTACCAAATTGAAGTTTGGAAGATTGGAAATCATGTGAACACGGTGGTAAAATCTCTGTTGAGCTTATTGTGAAGCTTTTTCTATTTAAAGAAAGAATAAAATAGGTTAACATTCTTGGTATTAAAAGCTTCAATGTATTTTTTTAAAGAAAAAGACTTGAAATCTTTGAACTTTGGAGCGAAGTGTCCAGTATAGATACTTACATGCCAGAAGTAAAAAACTGATATTCGCTGGCATTGTGACTGGTGATATTTTCATAAACTTGCCCACTCATTGTGATGTTGATGGCCTCATTAAAAGTATTTACAAATCTGAAACAGAAAATCATCTGTCTTGTAACCGAACTATGGTATAATTTATTCTAGGTCACCTTTGCACCTGCCGTTGGGCTGCACTCCCTTTTTTGAAGGAATTTAAGATATTTACGGATTTCTAGAGGAAAAAGGCAGAAAGTTAGCAACCCTAGGTTTGCCCTTGCTCCCGCTCATGAGAACACACCTAAAAGAATTTATTTAACACTGTTTATATGTGCCAGGTACTGTTCTGCATACTTTGTAAATGTCACCTAGTTCAATTCTATTTGGGGATATCAAGTAGGTACTGATCCTTTCCCCTTCAAGAAGGTAGGGATGCTTTCATGTTCCTCGCTTCAGAAGCTTTAGAGCAAAAGTGGAGGACCCAAAAGCTAGAAGACAGCCCCCAACCTGGGCTTCTTTTGGAGGGGTGAGAAGGGAAGCCCACTCATTTCCTGTAGGAGCCTGAGGCAGGAAAGGACTCCAAGGATTGGAGAGGAAGAAATGGGCCAACCCAGTAATAAGAGACAGTTTTAAGGAATTCTCCTAAGTTGGTGAAGACCTGTGTGGTCCTGGAGTGACAATGACCAGCGCCCTGCTGTTATATAGCCAGGAATGGAAGATACAATAAGACTGGGCCCTTGGTCCCAGAGCTTCCACACTCTGCAAAGTCCCCCATGCCCCAGGTCCACATGGAACCAGCTGAGCTGCTTGCCTTCACAGGACCAGACAGGTGAACAGTGTGCACAGGTGATTAGAGATCCCTTCTTTAGATGTTTCAGGAGACAGAAGACCCTAAAACTCCTGTACTACCCTAAGGAGCAGGAGGGTGGTGCCCCAAAGAGGACCAGGTGATTTATTCCTACCAAACAGGTAAGTGAAGGCCTCTAGCAGATTATCTGATATAGAGAACAAGAAGTAATAATAGTATATAACTAAGTACCATAAAGAACAATTTAACCTTTATATTCCTAAAATATGCGGCCAAGTTTCACCGGCTTTGTGGCAACAAGTAATACTGGTCAAATTCTAGGTATTGGGAGAAAATTTCTATGAATTCAACTCAGGCCCTGAAGTCCTGAGGCATTCTACTTGGTGCAGTTTGACAGGTGATTAATATAGAAAATTGAACCGGACACAGGTCAACATGAGCCTAAGTAGATAGAAATATAAAAGCTGCTTTTATCAAGGATTGAAATCTTCCATTCAAAAGAGATAGACAAAGTATGAGATTAGGAAGTAAACCTTAGAGCCTGGGGCCTGGCTTTATAATTTACAAGACACGACATTGAATGAATCCCTGAGTGGATCTCTGAACTACCTGCCTGACATAAGTCTCAGGGGTGGTGCGATAAGAAATGAAAACAGTCTGGAAAAAATGCAGTGTCACGCATATCCGATGTGTTTCGTATGCAAACATGGAAACCAGTAGAGCCTAGCAGCAGACATACTCTGAGTGTCCTGGAGGGTGGGAGGAGCAGAGTCAAGATCTACTGTGCTCTCAGAGTTTGGATCAGGTACTGTCCTAGGTCCCGTTCATGGTTCAAGTTAGCTTAGGCCTCGTAAGGAGCACCAGGATCAAAGGCTAAGAGATGGTCACAGGGATGAGGATGAAGAGTGGAAACCAGCTGAGAAAATGACAAGATGGGACCAGTTACTTAAAGACTAACCAAGAGGAAGAGGAGTTTGTTCCTTCTCAATCTTTCTAAAACATCTCTAGGAGATATAATTCACATACCGTGAAATTCACCTACTTAAAGCACACATTTCAGTGGTTTTAGTATATTCACAGGCCTGTGCAACCATTGCAATAAAATTCTCATCACTCCAGGTAGAAACTCCATACCCACTCGCAGCCACTCCATTTCCTTGCCTGGCCCCTAATTAGTGGCCACTGATCTGCTTTCTGTCTCTACGGATTTGCCCGACATTTCATTTAAATGGAATCATACATTATGGATCTTCGTGACTGGCTTCTCTCACTTTGCATATTGTTTTTAGGGCTCATTCACACTGTAGCATGTATCAGTACTTCACTCCTTTTTATGACGGAGTAATATTCCATTGTATGGATATAGCACATTTTATCAGTTGATGGGCATTTGAGTTGTTTTCCCATTTTGTCTATTGGGAATAATGCTGCCATGAGCATTCATGTGCAAATTTGTGTGTAGACATATGTTTTCATTTCTTTGGGGTATATAGGTAGGAGTGAAATTGCTGAGTCATCCGGTGCAGCTCTATGTTTAACCCCTTGAGGAGCTGTTTTTCAAAGTGGTTGCACCATTTTACGTGTCCACCAGTATTGGATAAAGGCTCTGATTTATCTGTACTCTAACATGTGGTGATTACAGGCAAGATCTTTTCTAGCTACTTATAAATATACAGTATAATATTATTAGCTCTAGTCAGCTTAGAACACCTATCTACCTGCAGGTTTGTACCTGTTAATCCACCACTTACTTTCCCTCACTGCCCCACCCCTTTCCCTTCCTGGCCTCTAGTAACCATTATTCTACTCTCTACTTTTACGGGAACCACTTTTTTTTTTTTTTTAGATTCCACATATGTGTGAGATCATGTATTTGTCTTTCTGTGTCTGGCTTACTTCACTCAACATGATGGTTTCCAGTTCCATCCATGTTGCTGAAAATGACAGACTTTAATTTTTTCTTATGGTTGAGTAGTAGTATATTGTATATCATAGTTTTTTTTTTTTTATCCATTTATCTGTTGATGAAAACTTAGATTCATTCTCTCTCTTGGCTATTGTAAATAGTGCTGTTATGAACTTGAGAGTGCAGGTGTCTTTTTGATATATTGACTTCATTTCTTTTGGGTATATACCCAGTGGTGGAATTGCTGGGTCATAAGGTAGTTCAATTTTTAGTCTTTTGAGGAATCTCCATACTGTTTTCCATAATGGCTGTATTAATTTACATTCCCACCAACAATATAGGAGTGTTCCCTTTTTCCTGCATCCTCACCAGCATTTGTTATTTTCTGTCTTTGATAACAGTCATTCTAACTGGAGTAAGATGATATCTCACTGTGGTTTTAATTTGCATTTCCTAGATGATTAGTGATGTTGAGCATTTTTTCATGTGCCTGTTGGCCATTTGTATCTTCTTTTGAGAAATGTCTGTTCAGGTCCTTTCCCATTTTTAAAATTGGGTTATTTGCTTTTTTGTTGTTTGTTTTGTTTGTTTTTTGCTGCTGAGTTAAGTTCCTTACATGCTATGGATATTAGCCCCTTGTCAGATGCGTAGTTTGCAAACCCTTTCTCCCATTCTGTAGATTGTCCCTTCACTTTGTTGATTGTATCCTTTGCTGTGCAGAACTTTTTAGTTTCATATAGTCCCATTTGTCTATTTTTGCATAAGTTACATGTGCCTTCACAGTCTCATTCCAAAAAGCCCTGCCCAATCCAATTTCATGTAGTTTTCTACATTTTCTTCTGGTAGTTTCATAGCTATGGATCTTAAATTTAGGTCTTTAATCCCCTTGGAGTTGATTTTTTTGTATATGGTGAGAAGTGGGGGTTTATTTATATCTTCTGCATGTGGATATCCAGTTTTCACAGCACCATTTATTGAAGAGGCTGTCCTTTCCCCAATGTATGTTCTTGGCACCTTTGCCAAAAATCAGTTGGTTGTAAATGCATAAATTTATTTCTGGACTCTCTATTCTGTTCCATTGGTTTACTTGTCTGTTTTTATGCCAGTATCATTCTGTTTTGGTTACTGTAGCTTTATAGTATACCTGAAGTTAGGTAGTGTGATGCCTTCAGCTTTATTCTTTTTGTTCAAAATTGCTTTGGTTATACAGGGTCTTTTGTGGTTCCATACAAATTTTAAGATTGTTTTTTCTATTTCTGTGAAAAAAGTCATTGGTATTTTGATAGGAATTGCATTGAATATGTAGATTCTTTTGGGTTGTACGGACATTTTGGTGATATTAATTCTTCCAATCCATGAACACGGGATATGTTTTCATTTATTGTCTTCTTCAGTTTCTTTCACCAATGTTTCATAGTTTTCATTGTAGAAGTCTTTCACCTCCTTGGTTAACTTATTCTTAAGTAATTTCATTTTTCAGGAGCTTACTGTAAATGGAATTGCTTTCTTGATTCCTTTTTCATATATTTTGTTACTGGCATATATGACTATTGATTTTCGTATGTTGATTTTGTATTCTGCCACTGTACTGAATTCATTAGTTCTAGTAATTTTTTGATGGAGTCTTTATGGTTTTCTATGTGTATGATCATGTCATCTGCAGGTAGAGATAGTTTGACTGCTTCCTTTCCAATTTGGGTGCTCTTTATTGCTTTCTCTTGCTTTATTCCTCTGGCTATTAACTTTTAATACTATGTTGAGTAAGAATGGGGAAAGTGGGCATCCTTATCTTTTTCCAGATCTTAGAAAAAAAGCCTTCAACTTTTGTCTATTCATTATATTAGCTGTGGGTTTGTCATATATGGACTTTATTGTGTTGATTTCACTCCTTTACCTCATTTGTTGAGTGTTTTTATTATGAAGTGTATTGAATTTTATCAAATGCTTTTTCTGTGTCTATCGAAATGATCAAATGGTTATTGTCTTTTATTCTGTTGATGTGATGTACCGCATTTATTAATTTATGTATGTTGAACCCCGAGATGAGTCCCACTTGGTTGTGGTGAATGATCTTTTTAACGCACTGTTGAATTCAGTTTGCTAATACTTTGTTGAGGATTATTTGCATCTATGTTCATTAGGGATAGTGGTCTGTAGTTTTCTTTTTTTAATTGTGTCCTTTTCCAGTTTTGGCCTGAGAGGGTAATGTTACTCTTTTAGAATGAGTTTGGGAGTATTCCCTCCTCTCCAACTTTTTGGAAGAGTTTGTTTTAGAATTGGTATTGGTTCTTCTTTAAATGTTTTGTAGAATTAGGCAGTGAAGCTGTCTAGTCCTAGGGTTTTCTTTGTTGGGAAACTTCAAGCTTGTTACTTGCTGTTGGTCTGTTTATTTTCTAATTC